ACAGTCACTGATATGTCAAATAGATTAGTTAATTATTACTCGTACATCAACACACAACATAAAAATCCCATGATTGCCAAGGCAGTCTGTGTAGATTTCCAAATGTTAGTGATGTTACTGGAATGCTTCCACGTGCTGGACGTCGCTCGTTGTGTCATGTTCTTCGAATCGAGGCTGTACATCTCTAACAATGCCGCTAATTTATTTGATGTATGTGTCGTCTCTTTGGAAGCTACTTGGATGATCGTTTACTTTCTCGTGGGTACACCACTCATTAATTTGGATCTTCCACCAGTTCTCTGTAAGGCGAGCAACATGTCCTGTGAACCAGATTTTATTTTCTCGTATAGTTGCAGTGATATCCTGCATAAAACCACGTTTTCTTTTTTTTCAAAATACAACTGAATTTTACGCAGCTTATGTGAAGCTGCGTAAAATCTTACGCAGATTTTTCGCAAAATTACGCTTCTTCTTTTCAGGTTATGGCGTGCACGTGGCGACGATGGTACACCAAGTGCTCACTTTCATGATCGCAATGAGGAGATGCGCGCGAGCACTGTGGATCTGAAATCGCCTCTGCAGCTATTATCACAAGTTGAACAAATGCACAAGGAAGAGCTGGATCAGGTTTTGCACAAACTGCAACATGAAAATAGGTAGTATATTGATTTTCATTCCGAGGCTTTCCCACAATTCAGCAATTGGTACCCGTGAGATGGAAACCGATCGACCAAAGAAACTGCACGCTGACGTAATAATGTGGTAGATAAGAAGTAAGATCAAATAATCCGGCAGAGGAAATGCCGGTAGATTCAGGTGTATAAGAAACCCGGAATGCTGCTGCAACATCTCCGCAGCGTCGAGATCTCCACATCAGTAGTTCAGATGTTCGTGATGAAGTTTCTTGATACATGAGCTCCTCTTTTATTAAAAACAGTCATCCGCAAAAAGACTTCATGAGCCTGGCAGCGAGGCGAGACAGACCCAGTTGAGCCACCTTTCATAGTTAAATATTCATCCATATGCATAGGCGGATCCAGGGCGGTCTCCTTAGGAGGGGCGGGGGAGGAAGGCAACAGGGGGTTTCAGGTAGACTTTTTTACGGTAAAATAACTGCTACCTAAGCCCCTAAGGGGGAGAGAACGAAAGACTCCCCTCCTGGATCCGCCAATGTCCGTATGATCGAGATTGCTGGAATCTTCCGACTTGCTAGTGATAACTCGGCACCACTGGGGTGCATCCAAAGTTGAATGCAGCTTTGTTCAAGCTTTTTTTTTTTGAATTTACTGCAGAGAGCTGAAGAAAGAAATTGAAAGGCGAAAGAAGTTCGATGGTGGCATTGGCTCAGCACCAAATTTAGTGCATGGCAGTGGTGCATCGACATCGCGAAGTGGTACCGACAATATGGGCACCGGCCGATCAGTTCCCTCACTACCGAACTCTGGCGACGAGCAGTTGTTGAGAGAGGTTAAGAGAGGTTTTTTCAAACAGTTGTAATTTTATGTCAGGAAGAAAGATATTTTAGGGCAAATCTTTCGAAAATTTGTATTTTGCTTCCGAATATGTCTCATTGGCGCAGAGATTCCCAGACAGTCGCTAGGTTTCCATTCTGGCAGATCTCCGGAAGGAGGGCAACAAAGTGTGGTAAAGGCAGTTGATAGCAGTCTCAGACAAATGAAAGGGAAGCAAGAAAACACTTTTATGGACAACTATATGTGGTAAGACTGTAATGTAGGAAGGCGTGGAATACGTGGAGGTGTGCATTCTACGGGAAGCAAGGAATAGTTCCATTCAGTTTGTGGATATATCTCAGATATTTCAGGGAATACTCACGAGCGAGCGATCCTGGAAATATTTTGTGACGGATAACCTAGTAGATATGGCTTTCGAGAACTGAGAGTTGTTGTAGGATTGAGCAAAATTTCAGGCGTATTTGCTGCGGCAGCACAAGGAACGGTTGGAACAACGAAGTCGAATACTGGAAGAGCAAAATCGGCAGCTCGAAACGCAGCTTACACGATTGCGAACAATCATTGCACAGGTGGGTTGCGACCCTAATCAGGATGAGGTGAATTATTCCTATGAAAAATATTGTCGTTGTGATTATGATTTTGACAATAAAATTGTTTGAATTATGGTTGAAGTTGTTGCTGGTACTCGCTATTCTCGGAGTGCTTCCACTCACCTCCATCTTTGAAAACGAAGTGGATATGAAGGGTGTTTTGAATTGATTTGTTACTCTGATCAACTGCGCGGTTCACGATCTGGTTCCCCAGCTGTGCAGTTGGCGATTTCTCCAGTTGCTTTGAACAGTTCTACACCATTTAGTGGTCACTCTTCTGGTGACCCTGACGTCTGTTTTGTCTCTTGAAGGAATTACCAGCTCAGTGAGTCTTAAAGATTTCATCACCGTGTCGACCACGTTGGGGCAATTTACCGACTAAATGTCAGTATCATTTACGAATATTCTTATGTGTTGTGTGAATGCCTTTTCTAAAAGCAGAGCAGAACTGGGAGCATCCCCGATATTTTCTTTTCAGCAACAGAACTCCTTAATGATAAAATGCATGTAGAGGTTTTCGATGTATTTAATAAAAAAAAAACTCAACTAGTCCTGAATTTTCAGCAACATAATGCTGCAAACGAAGGCAAGGAGAGTGGTCAGGAGGAGCACGAATCGAGCGTTGCATCCGGAGAGGAAGATGAAGGGATCGAGTATGATACAAGGCCTAATCGTATGAATTCGTTGATTGCATCCGTGGATCAGCTTGGCCGCGCAATGCAGTCTTTCGTTGTTTCGGTTGTTAACGAAAATGGCGATGACAGTAACGACGAAGACGATGAGGTGACCATCACTGGCAATTAATAATATTCTTTTTTTTTTATCTTCTTATCCGATTAATCTGTAAATCAAGTAGAATCCAAAATCATGGAGACGTTCAAATTTTATTCCTTTTAGACATCACCGTGGAAATTTTCCTGAAATGTTTGACACTCTCTATATGGAACACCTCGGTTTATAGTCTGTTTGTCCGGTTATGTAGGTGGTAACTTTTCCAACTGTTTTGACCAATACTGCATCGATTGAAGA